TGTAGTTTCATTCATGTCTTCATCTACGTCATGTATTAAATGCTTCATTTTATCTCCATTAAAAATGCAAGTCAGAAATATTCAGAACATAGCACCGAGTCTAACTGACAAGAGTATAAAGATATACTATGAACACGTTATGATGAAACCAACCAAAATTCAAGAAAGTCAGTATACTTATGAATATCCAAGACACTGGGTAGAGTATGTAGGAGGTGAGAAAGCTATTGAAATCAGACAGGTTCGAAGTATTCCAGCAGGAAGACAATATTATTGAAGAACTTTAATGTTTTGAGGTATAATGATGAAACAAAGAAGCAAGATAGTTTTCCATTGCTGTGTATGTGAACCTAGACACAGGAGATGACATGAAAGTTTTTAACACAAAGCTTCAAACGGTAGTGAGAGAACAACTGACTGCGGAAGGACATCCATTACCTTCAGAAGTTACCATAGCATATAATTTTGAAACAAACTCAATAGATTTTAAAGTCATCTCTGCAAAGAAGTCAGGTTTTACATTTAATGAAGCAGATGTATATTCGAATGAAAACTTCAAAGCTATTGCATGGTTAGATAATGACGATTGCTTTAAGAAAATATTTAAATTCAGTGACTCAACGATGTCAATAGATGACCTTCGTGGAATGTTACCATCGACGTTTACAGTAGAAGGTTCAGCAGGATTGCTTACAAGATTGTCAATTGGTGGTATTTGGTCTCGTGAGAACATTGTTATAAAATCCAGTATAAGTGAATTTGCTGAAGAATCTATATTATGTCTTTCAAACTACATGTATTCGCCGCCGAAGCATTATAGTATAACAAACTTTGTCAGTAAGTTTAACATAAGACTTGTCGAACCTTCTTCAATGAAAGATGTTGTGCTACCTAAAGATGGAAAGGATGGACTCATTATTGAGATGATTTTAATAGCATATTAAATGAGCTTGTTCTTGAAGGTCATTCATGATGAAATAACTGTTGTAGAAGATGTTAGCAATTGTTCAGACATTTTGAAGCGAATAGATGATATAAGAAAGAAGTTAATAGACCGCAAAGCGGTGAGGGCGAAGCCGTGAGAATGTTTATGTTTCATTGACTTTCTCCAGTAACGAGAACTTTTATGAGATAATATTGAAGAGAGATGATTTTAATATGGTGTAAATGGTAGCTTGGGCAGCTTTAGGCGCAATGGGAACAAAAGCATTAGCATTTGGAGCAAAAGCACTTGGGCTTATGACGCAGTAAATAAAATGAGTGGAGGAAGGTTTCGAAGACATTAGACGCAAATAAAGGAAAGATAGGAGGCTGGGTTGCAAAGAAGTTAAGATTAAATAAAATAGGGCTCATAAATAAAGCATCCAATTTGGTTGCGACTGAGTCAGAAAATGCTTTAGGAAAGGACGATGAGTTTGCAAAACACGCAAAAGACTTTAATGACCAGATGAAAGGTGAAACAATGCATTTAAATAGAGTCGATGGAACTCTTCCTCCACCAGCAGTTCTTCCGTATGGTCCCTATGGAATGTATGGAAACCCTTACGAAAGACCATTTGACCCATTGACTGGTGGAAGTAACTGGTATCATTACGGACGAAGAAGAAAGACAGTTAAGCTGGAGACAGACGTGAAGAAAGCAACTAAAAAGAAACCAAGGAAGAGAGTTATAAAGCAATGAATTTATGAGGTGAAAAAAGAGGTGAAAAAAGAGGTGAGATTTCACCACTTCACCTAAATTTATTTTTGCGCTATGTTTTCATACGTGTGGGAGTGGTGATATCATTAATTTTTAAGTTTATTTTTTTATTTTATTTTTATATAAATGACGAAAACTATTGAGATAACAAACTACAACGGTCATGAGTTCAAGAATTTGTTCTTCGTTCCTCGTGAAAATACATTCTATCAGATACGGGGGAGAAAGGGTAAAGTTAGTTTGAGCGTTTATGACAACAAACATAATGGGAGATATATAAAAGCAATAGATACAAACGGTAAGCGTGTTTCATTAGCTTTGTCAAAACTTACTAACATTTATTTTGACAGTGACTTTGACTCTGACGATTGGAGTGACAGCAGCGATACTGAAGAATATGAACTATTGTGTGAAGCACAGCAATGGGAAGCGCTGCAATACTTTTGTAAATGAGAACGTTTATTTTTACAGTAGTGAAGTCGTTTGTGAAAACGTTAGTGAGGTGAAGTGGTTGGCGGCTTTATAAATATTTAAGGTTAAGTTGGTGTTTGTGTTTGTGTTGTAAAATATACGTTAACGGTTTTGTAAAGTGTCAAATTCACAAGTATTGCGTACGGAGAAACGCAGTGCCTCCGTACCCTTGATATGTATACTAACTAATACATGTAGTTTGAAAGACATAATATAGATTCTTCAGCAAATTCACTTATACTGGATTTTATAACAATGTTCTCACGAGACCAAATACCACCAATTGACAATCTTGTAAGCAATCCTGCTGAACCTTCTACTGTAAACGTCGATGGTAACATTCCACGAAGGTCATCTATTGACATCGTTGAGTCACTGTATTTAAATATTTTCTTAAAGCAATCGTCATTATCTAACCATGCAATAGCTTTGAAGTTTTCATTCGAGTATACATCTGCTTCATTAAATGTAAAACCTGACTTCTTTGCAGAGACGACTTTAAAATCTATTGAGTTTGTTTCAAAATTATATGCTATGCTATGCATGTAACTTCTGAAGGTAAGGAACTTCCTTTCGCAGTCAGTTGTCATCTACGCTCACACACCGATTGAGCTTTGCTTTTCTGTTGAAGAGTTCCAATAAAAATGAAGCTAACGAACCTCACTTCAGAAAGCAGCAATCATAACAGCAAAGAAACAGCAAAAGTTCTTATTTCACATGGTGCAGATATCAAAGCTAATAAGGTAAAAAAGATGATCAAATATAACTCAATTTTTCGCCTTTTTTTTTCAATTAAAAATTATATCAACTAATATCAAGATAAAAGTGCTTTGATATTACCACTCTTTATGATAAAAGTTAGTTTATCGGCTTTAAAAAGGCAGGGTTTTCATTCTGGAGCTCCAAGCGAAGCGCATGAGCCCGTGTCAATGCAGAAAAAAGTGAAAAATTGAGTGAATTTTGATCGTCTTTTTTACTATTTTTCCACTCTAGAATGATCCGCTAATAATTAATTTGGAAAAACTTTACATCAATTTGTTCTTTTCTGTCAAGGCATTAATGATGATTATTGAGATAATGATGACAGTAATGATGACCATATTTATGATCAGAGTGATAATGATGTCAGTGACGATGACATTAATGATGATAGTAATGACGATGACAATAATGAATAAGTATGGTGCTCTATAAAAAATGAAACATTTCATTCTGTAAAATAAAGTTAAATGATTCATGTTCAAACAAATAATTAAGCATGTATAAGCTTTTGGCAATTATTATCATCATCAAAAAAAAGTAATCGCAACTAAAAACATAAAAATTAAATTATATATAAGTTTTTGCAAAAGAATTGGAATTATCTAATGCTGAACAATATTTGAAGATTTTATGTTACATCCATGAAGGGGCCAATAAAATGTCTGAAATTTTTGCTTCTAATTTGAGTGCTTACAATAATTATTGTGAACAAAAATTTGCTTCCACGCATTCAAATTTTCCGCATTTTTAAAATAATTATTCCGTTTATTTCATTTACGAAATGTTTATATTATTTTGTGCAACCATATCTTGTTAATACTTCACGTGATCGATATTTTTCAAATCTGTCTGCAAAACTTAATGGGGTGTCCTCATAATAGTCTTTGGGGCTTTTGTCAATATTCGGTTGTTGTAAGAGATATTCGCAAACGTGGGGATTGTTACTAAGAGCAGCCAATGAAGTGGAGTTTGTCCATTACAATTTCTTTCATTGACGTCAACGAATCTCAATGAAAATTTAACACCTTCTACGTTTCCATTTTTACTAAAATTATGAAGAATTGTTTCATTGCGATTATTTCGGATTTTAAGATTTGCTCCATATATATGAAATAATTTAACTAACTTTAAATTATTTTCTTTTGATGCACGAAATATCATATCAAATGCAAAAGTATTATCTCTAACATCATAATAACCTTCATCAACGGAATATTTAATTGTATATAAATCTCTTTCTTTTACTGCTTTTTCTAGAATATAATAAATTTGATGATAGTTCTTGGTTATTTTCTTTAAATTTTTAATGCATTTGTGTTTTGTTCACTTGTTTCTGTTTTTTCTGGAATAAAATTTTCATAATTTCTAATTATTTTGTCTTTTGTTCGGAGTTCTGCTTGTAATTGGGTAATTCTAGAATCATACCCTTGAATTATTGTGTGTTTACTGCTCTTAATAGTTCAGAATAAAATGGAAAACATAAGAATTCTCCTAAAAATTTTAAAATAGACATAATTGATGGTAAATCGTTGACCTTGTCAAGATGTGTATGTTCAAGCATCTTTATTTTATATCGTTTTCCAAAAAAGAAAGAAAACAATGTCGAAAAATGATAAAAATTGTTCTTGGTTAAGTTTTGAGATATCTAAAACTTTAATTAGTTGATCTAGTGTTCTTAATTCAATCCACTCACTATCTTCACACCATTCATCAATGTGATTTGCATAATATTGTGTCGAAACTCATTAAAAAAAATGCCAACAATTACACATATTTGAAAATCTATTATTTGGGAGAATTGTAAAAAATGAAACCTCGATAAATGTGAAAAAAAATTTGCAAAAAATTAACGTGTCAAAATCTAAAAGTCCATACAACAAGTAAATCGTCGCCACCAGCTGCGGTTTCATGTGTAATTATTTCAGTAATAGCAAGTGATCTATAATTTATATTTATTAAACACAAAAACTTAGTAAACTCTGATTTCTCAAATTAATTTCATTTACATACTATTCTATATGAGAAATGATTGTGTGATTTCAGTGTTGATGATTCTGCATTGACATGTATGGGAGTCGCAGGGGTATATCACTTTAGGGTTAAGAAGACATTCGAATATGATTTTACGAATGAAAGAGATAGTCCTATTCTCGATGATTACACCACATCTGAGATGATCACAGATGAAGAAGATAGAACTCTCGACGTTCTCCACGCACTTAAGGATGTGATCGTTGTCCATGAAGAACAGTTTGCAAACGCATATTGTTTGATGTTCATCACGGAGTCGTAGAGTCTGTGGAAGATTAAAAAATTATCTTTGAAGCCGGATGGAAGCAGAAGAGGACTATCTCTGACTTGTTGTAAAGAGCTCCGACATTAACTGCAAAATAGTCACTTCGTGGACACTCAATGATAGACGAGAGAGAAGAACATCCCTCGAAGAACAAGTTACTGATGTTTTGCAGAGAGTAGCCTTCTGGAATTGTGAACTTGACTTGATTTATGAATCCTTTGAAGACGTAGTCTGCCATATACTCTGTTTTGGAATTGTGAACGTTGTGATGTTCGTGTTCTCGAAGCAATTAGATCCGATCTGTTCGACATTTGGAGGGAGTGTGATATACGAAAGATTTTTGCATTTGCTGAAGCAGCCCATCAATAGATTTCAGATTAGAGTCAGTTAGAAATGTAATATTAGTTATTCCAGTGTTCGCAAAAGCATAAGTTTCAATAATCTCTAACGACGATGGGAAAGCAATTTCCCTTAATGATAAGCAATCCACGAAACATGATTTATGAATCATGTAATATTGTTTGAGAAAATAAATATTTTGAAATTCTTGCATTTGCAAAAAGTTTATCTCTAATTACTGTATTTTCGCATTCAGAAAATTCGATTGTTTCAAGACTCGTGCATTCGTAAAAAAACTGAACCAAAATATTGCTTTTAGTTTATTTCCGAATTTAATCGTTTCTGATTGCACATGAAACAAAGGCGTTCGAGTTGATTACTTCAAGTGAATTCGGAAAAATATATTTGTTAGATTTTTGCAGTAAGCGAATGCTTCTGAATTTATAGTCTTAAGCTTTGATTCTCCATCATAAATTATAGATTATTAATGGCAACACTGTTATCATTTATTTCAACATCTTCTGGAATTGTATATGATTCTTTCTCGCTCAGACGTAAAGACAGAACTTTTCTTGAATAATACGTTAGATTTTGATCATCTAGAATGAATTGAGATCCTTCCACAAAAGTAATGTTGGTATGCGGGAGAAACATCTACTCCCTGGACTTATAACTGATCTTGGATAGTTACAGCAAACAGATTAAAACAAGATGCAAAAGTATTGAGGCTAATATTTTTATGTATTAGAAATATGTATTCCATAAAAACATATTGAGCTAATTACAATGACTCCATTCTCTATAGTAATTTCATTTAGGCCTTTATAACCTTGGAGATGTCCATAACCAAAACTAAATCTCTCAGTTTCATTGTAAAAGATAAACTTGGTTCAACAGCTCTTCATTATGCACCAATAAAAAAATTAAAAGCATCAAATTTATTGCATTGAATGGTGAAATCATCTTTGAAGGAGTCACATTGAAATCAAGTTCATGATTTGATTCAATATTTGTAATTTACAAAAATTTTTGCAATTGAACTTGAAAAGTATCTAATCATTTCCTATATATTGAAAATTAATATTTCATATTTTACCATTCATATTTAAAATGGATGATTTCCAAACTGCGAAAGAGGCATTCACTCGCGGTCAATATGGAAAATCTGCTGGAATATTTGAAAAACTAGTACAAGATCAAAAAGATTTTACAAAATCAGCAATAAATAAAGCAAATTTATTCATTTC